TAATAATAATAATAATAATAATAGTAATAATAACAAAAAATAAAACTGGTTTAAAACTTTTTATTTTTTTTTCTTTATAAATATTATATATTAGCAATTATATGATCAGTTAATAAAAATATTTAATAGTCATATCAAAAATTTATTCTATACTTTTACTTTGTAAAAAACTACATTTTCTCACTTTATCGCTTTTTTTTGCGCAAAAGCTTTACTTGAAATGATTTTTTTTCGAGAATATATTCTTTTAATATTTAATTCAAATACTTTTGAGGTCCTCCATATATTTAATTAAAAGTTGTTTAAAAAAAATTTAAGTTTTCAAAGATGGATTTTTACAGGTTTGTCCACCTATTGGCCCACTGTGCGCTGTGCTAAATAGTCGTTTAACTGGAGCCGAAAATGGTACAGTGGTATTGAACTTATCAAGCAGTGACCGAATACTCTTACACTTTTTCAGAACATTCAAACTTGTATCTCTATCATTCAGATATCAGATATCAACATACCTTTTTGCTGAGCGCCAATTGCTGCACCAGCATTTGGAGTGTCATCATTATGTGGAAACACATGGCCATAATACACATTATCCCCTTGAAAAGTATCCAATGTTGTAGCATCAGGTTTCATGACCAAGGCATATTCTTGCAAGCATTCTAGTTCTTGCTTTTTAAACTTTAGCGCCTTCAAAGCACTTTAAATATCATTAAGTTTGTCACATAATTTAAGTAATCGTTTGATAGTATTGTACTGAGAATTCCAACGTGTTGCCACGGGGCAGAGTATATTGCTTTGTCTGTAATATTTGACACAACATCTGATGCTTTACAACTTCGTCAAGTTCCATTCCATATTCAAGCCCATTTTGCCAGACCTGCACTGCAGGTACGCTTAAACATACTGCCTATATCACATGACTTCTTAGCATCATTAGATGTCATTAGGTTCAGTGAATGGCTAATACATGTTTTATAGTATGGCAAAGAAATGCTCTCGGCTATGGACTAATCACCATCATCATTATGTTCTGGTGAAACTGAAAGAATCTCTCAAATATTAATTACATCAATTTCATCCTCATTAACTTCATCATCATTAAATTCATCATCTTCCGTGTCCTCTTGCTCTAAAAAAGTATTAGGTGTGATTGTAACACCTACAGTTAGGTGTGATTGTGACACCTACATTAGTTGCTTCTGCACTTGTAGTTGACTCTACAAAAAATTCTCTGAATACTTTTCCAAAATTTGACGCATTCAATGCAGCAACTATGTCATATGTGTGACCACCATAAAATCATCGGCAAGCGAGGGATACAGATGCTCGTGAAACCGAACTAGAATCATCTAGTGGCATTTCAATGTAATGCACAGTCATGCCAAGATAACTTTTTTTTATTGACTGACCAAATATCTGCAGTAGTACATATAAATGATGCTTTTTTCAGTTTGCTTCTTATTTTTTCATGCACCCTAGAAAGCTTTGAATTTAAACGTTTGTTAAGAGTCTTGAGACACACGATACTTACGATAGGATTAAACCCACAAAGCAGTCGACGAAAAGCCGGTTTTCAACCTTAGCCAAAGGACGCATCTCTTCAGTAATATAACCCATAATTAAGTTGTCAGCTTCTGCTTGCGATATAATACAACGTTGTGGTGAAAATTCCGATGCTGCTTCACAATAAGTAATTTGTTTAAAGTTCTTATTAGCTGGGCCTTCATCAGCCGTTCTTTCTACACCAGCCTTGCCAAGCTTACGTTTTCTCAGAACATCTGCCTTATGTGTCTAATAGTCTTTAAAGCGATTCTTTTGCGAGTTCTATAAAGAAAACATAAATCCTTTTAAAAATTAAGTTTTTACTTTGCTGTAAGTAAGTAAGTATTGTATATTTCGATTTATATTAACTTGTATTGTCTTGCCTTTAATGCAATATATATTTGTTTGTTGATAATTGTATATTTTTCATCATTTGTATTTTTCATCAATTGTATTTATTTGTATTTTTCATCAATTGTATATTTTTTATCATTTGTTTGTTGATAATTAATTGTATATTTTTCATAATAGATAAGGTAAAGTAAATTTAACTAATAGTAAATTTTAAAATTACCTTCAAAGGCTTAACAAAACTTGATGTTACCACCAGCGTGCCCGATAATGGCTTTGAATTACGTACACATAATAAGCATAATATTGATAATTTATTACTTTTTTTTTAATCTGGCAACGATTTTGAAAGAGGTAACATCTACAATTGCTGGTAAAATTCCATTATTTTCTTCAGTCATTTCGTTTTCGCGGCTAACGGCAGTCATTTTTAAATTAAAGTTGTTGATTCCCGTGAAATAATTTGATAATTACTCTAATGACTAGGGCTGTGGAGTCGGAGTCGCGACATTTTTAGCGGAGTTGGAGTCGGAGTCGCTACACAAAATTGCGACTCCGACTCCAATAGTAAAGCTTCTCGGTATTGTACGTGCATGTACAAAATATTCAATAAACCTTATATTTATGCTAAACCTCAAAAAAAATTTCATAATTTTGGCAAATTTAAATTTTCTAACTTATCGCATAATTTTTAAAAAATTCAAAAAAAATTTCAAAATTTTTGCTTTAGAGTCGGAATCGGTGTTGGGGTCGGAGTCAAAATTTCAACGATTGGAGCCGGAGTCGGTACTTTTTTTTGCACGACTTTACACCCCTGCTCAAGGAGGTTTAATAAACCTCCTTGCCCCTGCTAATGACACCAAGGTAGATAAACCATATTAGATAAGTCAATGTAAATAAATAAAATAAGAAATAATTCAAAATAAATAATGGCAGAGTGACACTATGATATAACAGTTAGTTTAGTTGTTCGCGTGCGGTGTTGTGAATGTTTGCGGTATTTGAATTACAGGTATTTTCAATTAGTAGAAAATACTAATCAAAAGTGTTTTAAGTACAAATACTAAATACTTTAAACAAAAGTATTTAAAATACAAATATAAGGAAAGTTTTTAAAATAGTATTTTAAATACTTATTATTTCAAATACTCCCAACATTGATAACTTGCATAACTTATTTTACACTGGTAAGAACGTTAGGAGTTTACCACATAACTAGTGTTACTTTTTTTTACACTGTTAAGAAAGTTTGGAGTTTATTATATAACTGGCGTTACTTATTTTATACTGATAAGAAATTTTGGAATTTACTATATAACTGACATTTCTAATTTTGCACTGATAAGAAAGTTTGGAGTTTACTATATAACTGAAGTTGCTCATTCGGAAATAAGTGTGAGTTTAAAAGTTGAGGTTATTTTATTAGTTATAAAATAGCGTCACATAAAATGTTTATAATTTTTTTAATTTCAATTCACCTCCCCAAGGCCACAACAGCCGAGAATGGTACTTTAGTTGTGGTTTTCGACCCTCTCTCAACTCTATAACTCTGAAACAAGAACCTTGACAAACAAGGCCGCTGTGAGGGGTAACAAGTTGAGCGCGGTACTAAGTTGGATGTGGTGGGGAAAAGCGATCTACGAGGCAAGCGCTCTACCACTACACCACTACCGTATAAAGTAATACCTAAAGTTGTATAATAAATACCTTGTCAGTTTATGACGTATACAATATATGAAGTATATAGTATATGAAGTATATGATCTATACGACAGTGATTCAGTATAACACAAGTTATGTATTTGTAAGCTATATGATAAACGTCGAAACTACTATTATTACCCTTTTTTTTTATTTATTTATTTATTTTTTTTTTCTTCTCAAGGTATACCATATAAAATATACATTTATTATCGTGATAAAAAGAAAAAATATATATAAAATTATTACGTACAATACATTAATATAGTATTGATGCAAACTTAATATAAATAATAACTATTATATATATGTTTATTTTTTTCTATACTTTATTACCTAAAAAAAGGAAATCAAAGAAGATTCAGCATTTTTGGGTATAAAACTCCAAAAAAAATCTTTTCGCAGACCTAGAGATTACAATTCGACCAGTTGATTATTATTTTATTGTGCGTGCTATTAAAGTTAAAAATAAAAAACGTTTAAATTTTTAACATTCGTATAATAGATTCTATGAATTGTAGCACTACTCATCACAATGATATGAGTATAAATCATTTTAATTGTTTTCATTTTGTGATTAAAAAAAATTGCTTTCAAAATAATTTGGTTTTTTTTTAAATGTAATTAAATTATTACAATTATAAACGAGGCTGTAGTACAGCCGATGTACTACAACCATTGTACGATAGTTTATACTGGATAATTTTTTATAAGGGGCTTGTAAAAACCTAAAAAAAACACAACATTAAACAACATAACTAGCTTCTTTTTTTTAATGCAAACGTTTTAGTTTTTATTCAAAGTTTACTTACTACAAAAACATCTCTCAAAAAGAATACTTTAAATATAATCACTTTTTTTTTTTTAGATTTATGTTCCTTACAACCTGAAATACATACTAATAGTTTTTTTGTATTTTTTAAATGCTAATAATGTTTCTTTAAAAATCAAGCTACAATCTTGACTCTAATAATGCTCTGCATGATTTTGTAAAAAACGGATAAATAATCTTTAATAAAAGTTTAATTCCAGGGACTTTTCATCATTGATTTCATAGTAAAACTAAGTATGATAATGCTAATTTTTATATACCATTGTATAGGACTTACTTCTTAAATATAAACCGAATATATAACTAATTTTAGGTCGAAAAGGGACTTTGCTTTGCAGGGCAGAATATTAATACCACGCAAGTCACTTATTACACACTGTTATGCTTACATTTTAGTAAGATAAAATAATAAATTTTATCTTAATTATTATAGAAAGTTATTTTTAGTTATAACAGGAAATTATTTTAAGAATGAGTTTTTCTCTATTATCGCATTTATTTACTAATCATTTAATATACTTATCGATATCGTATTTATATACTTTTCACGCATGCGCATTTTTGTTTATCTAAATATTACGTAGTATACCAATCGCATACATATTTTAAGTTATAAAAAGTTTTTCTGTTTGTTTCTCATAGATTAAATCTTTGTTCAATCTAATTTATGTAAGCAAAAAAAGAGCTACATATGTTGTATTGCAATAGAAGTTATTATGAAAATTCCTGAAAAGTTTTTTGTTTTTTGTCTGGTGTTATGTCAGCCAAGTATACTTCATACATTAAACCAGAGGCAGCAAGAACAAGATCTGGCCTACTTAAGTATTATAAAAAAACAATTTACAACTCTTCCTAATTGTAAATGGAATTACAAGTATGATATAGGAAGAAGTATTGTTGCAGCACTTAGCTTTTTTTCTGCAGGTTTTGTCCTTATTTTTGGTAAGTTTTTTTTTCTTTAATAATATTTATAAATGATAATTGTTAAGTAAACTTATAAAACATAATAGTAAAATTAAATTTTACTTAATGTGCAATTTTTTTAATGTAAAATTTTAAAATATGTCCCATTCAATATTAAGTATAAAATTTAGCAAAAAATTTATTAAATCTATGCCAAGATAGTGCAGTGTTGGAAAGAATGAGTTGATAATATATATGTATTGGACCTGCATGTTGAACATTTTCACTTATCTTTTGTTTTATTTGGCTTTCTTGTTACAAACTGTGCGTTTTTTTTCTTTAATAATGTGTTTTTTTCACCTTTTTATGGTGAAGATTTTTAAAATGTGCATTTTGCTTTTGTCTGACAAAAAAATTTTTTAATGTAAATGCATGTAACATATACAAACTGTAAAACAATAACATATACAAACTGTAATATTTTTTAAACAAATATTAGCAAAACAAGTTTTTACTGTCATATTATTGTGGATAATTTTAAAAATTTACAAAGTGCAAAATTTGCTAAAAATTAATTACATTTATACTAATTTTTTATTGAATTTTTATACTATAAAAATACTTAGCTAATTTTAACATCATTTTATTTTGGCATAAACTAAGGACAACCCAGATGATCATTTCTTTAGTACTAAAGAACTAATTTTAAATATTCTTGTAGTTGCTTTGAATGTTTCAAAATAAATGTCTAATTTAAATTTGACTGTTCCTTGTTCAGATCTCAGATTTAATAGGTGCTTTCTTTGTTTCGCATAGAATACAAGTCACATGTTTGGCTCAGAGGTATACTTATGCATCAATTCATTTATTTGTCTAAAAATTTGGTTCGAAACTTTTGACTTTTCTTTTATGTGCTTTTGCTTCATTCTTTCTTCATTCTTCTTCATTCTTAGCATCTCTTCAAATTGACCATTGCCTTTCTCTTTACCTCTCTTTCAATATTTTTTTTATTGGTGACAATTGCTCATCGCACTTAATGGCTCAGCTCTAACGCCACTGATCTGGTGATAATGTGATCTGATGCTGGTACTAAAACCTTTAACTTCTGCATTTCCTAACTCTTACTTAGATAATTAACTTTGTAACTAGTTTACAGACAACCACTACTTGAATTGTGTCTGGTCTCTGACCCTAGCTTGTGTTCAGTTTCTCCTTTTTCTACTTTAAGTGGTTCAGAACATGCAGTGGTTTCTATAAATCTTTCATCTTTTTCTTTGGACTCTCTCATTGCACTACTACTACTACCTAAAAGCTGACTAGGATTCTTTTAATGATTTTTTTCATGACAAACCTATAAATGGATAAATGCTCTGACCAAACAAGAATGGAGGCATTTATTTCTTTTTTTTTTTTTTTTTTATTTTTATTTTACTTCACCTCTTCAAGGCCGAGAAGGCCACTACAGACGAGGAGGCTACTTATTTTGTGGCTATAACCCTCTCTCAACTCTATAACTCCGAAACACGAACCTTGACGAACAAGGCCGCTGCGCAGAGAAACGAATTGAGCGCGGTACTACCAGGGACGTGGTGGGGATCGATCTCGGAACCACTCGTTTATGAAGCGAGCGCCTCTACCACTACACCACTACCGCATTCTTCTCATTGATTCCACATCAACCCTCCTTCTACTCCTCGGTTTTACCTTCTTGTGCAGCCGCTATATCTAATTGTTATTATTTTTTTAATTTTTATTAAATAAACAATTCTCTTGAGAACAATTGCCTATTTTTATTATTGCAAGAAATCAATGTAAAAAGCCTGCTGCCCCATGCTTATTTCCATTATTTTCAGCTTGCTAAATCTATTTTATCTCAGAAGTTATGCTCTAGAAATTTTTTAAAAATCTTTAACAACATTGTTAACAAAGGTATGTCTAACGTTCCATCTTTCATTCATGGGGCTGATCTTATTACCTCTTCTAAGGATGAAGCAGAACTATTTGCAAAGAACTTTTCTTTAACTCTCCGTCGGGCGCGCTTGATTAAATTGATACATGTCAATCAATTTTATCTGGTACGAGTTTTTGAGTATTGACTCAAAGTTCTGCTTTTTAGTAGCTTCATTTTTTTCCATCTTTTATTGTTCTACATCATCAAACATATTTAAATCACTTTATATGAATTGATTTTTATCATTTTAATCAAATTGATATATTGCGCCCTTTTATGTTACATTTTATAAGTTTGATTATAATAAAAAATATTATATCTGGTAAATACATTTTTAAATTTGTAGTCATAATATGATATTATTTATTGTTCAATTCAACGGGAATGTATTTTTTCAAATTAAAATATCAAATTGATACATTGCGCCTTTGAGCATTATTGGTTACAAAAGTCTTGTAAGTATAAAAGGTTAGATATAAGTCTAACCTTTTATACTTATAATTAAAACAGTTTTTGTTAATATTTTTAAAATATATTTTAATTAGTTCATCTTTCTTTTTGATATATTAGTAATTCCTCTTTTTTGCCTCTAAAATGGATGAAATGGATTATTTAATCTTGAAAGTTCAAAAAATATAGAGGATTTTCAAAAAAAATCTATTAGATTTAGAAAAGGAGGTAAAGATTAAAAAAAAACATTATATTTTGAGAATGCTCAACCTGTTTTTAAAAGAAATGTTGTCTTAAAGAGATGATAGTTTACATCGCTTTAGAACAATCCCAATTTTAGAACAAACTTAAGATAATATTAGAAATAAAAATAAAAATAAAAGGTGCCAGACATGCACACAAAATAAACGATTAACAAGGTACAATTATCAACAATGCCATCAACCTATTTGTTTGACACAGAGCTAACGATGTCGGTGGGGGGGGCACGTACCCAACCACTTTTTTTCTAAAGTACCTTTTTTTTTTAGAGAAATTTCTAGATATAGAGGACTTTTTTCTAAAAAAAAAAAACAATTGTATCCCTCCACTTCAAAACCTGTGTCGTCGGCCATGTGGCACACCTAAAAAGCTATTGCGGCAGTTGCCTTAAAACTGTACTAGATTTTGACGTTCAAAACGATGTTAGAACATGATAATTAACATATTAAATTAATATTATATAAATGTTACACTTCTTTTCAAAGAATTCAGAAACTTTTTTTTTTTTTCCCAATTTTTTTTTATATAATTAGCTTTTTAGAATAGTCGCTGGAAATTTGTATCAATTTGATCAATGCGCCTCTTTTATTGAAAATAGTAATTGTGATGGAATTTTTAATTATTGTAAATACTTCATATTTGTTCAAAAATTATAAAAAAATAAAAATAAAATACTAAATTGGTGAATTGTTATGTGTATCAATTTGATATAATGCGCCTTCCCGAGTTACGAAATGATTGCGCCCGACGGAGGGTTAACATGTTCTTTTTTCCATTTCAATTAAACAGGTTAGACATTCAGGTTAGACTTTTCGACATTCAAATCACTCCAGTTTCCATTGCTAAACTCATGTCTCAATTAAACCCTTCTGCAACTTTAGGTCTAGACAACATTCCTGTCATCGTTTTGTAAAATTGTTCTCTAGAACTCTCTCTCTGTTGTCCGGCCTGCTGAAAAATGGCATCTGTTGTTTTAATTTTTAAAAACTCTGGAAAACATTCTGACCTCTCTAACTTTGTCTAATCATTCTCTTATTTGTTATTAGCATGTTATTATCCTTGATCAACAAATTTCTAACATTCTATTTTGAGTCAAATAATATACTGTCAGACATTAAATACCATTTTGGATTCTCTTGTTCTATGGCTGACCTGCTGTGACTAAAAGATTTTATTGTGCATTACATGGAGGTGGTGAGGTGAGGTGGTGAGGATTATAGCTCCTGACATATCTAAAGCTTTCAATAAAGTTTAGCATGTCTTTTCTATAAGTTTTTTGCTTCATATGGTGAATTGGGATAGTTTTTGAGATTCTCAAATCATTTCTAAATAACTGCTTTATTAAGTCATCGTTGATGACTTAATAAAGCTGTTTTCATGACTCATACAACGTACAACTTTTCAAGTCTTCTGTCAACCATTTCCGTGTACTTTTACTCTATTTTTTAATTTCTAGTAACTCTCTACTTAATAGCAGCCTTGTTGGGAGTTAATCAGAATAATAAAACCTTTTTGAATCTGTATTGTGTATTTTTTTTTTTTAATGTGTTTTTTTCAAAATACCAATTAAAATGATAGATTTATACAAATAAGAAACAACCATAATTGTTTTTTTTAAAATAGTCCTTGCTTTTTATTTGTAGATTTTTTCGCTGATTAATTTTTTTTTGTAAATGATAAATTAATATAATTTGGTATGTGAATAATTCCAACCTTTGTATCTTTGAGGCCTTAATCAAAATGCAGGCAGTGATGTAGTGTTATAGTGCTCGCCTTATATGCGAGTAATTTCGAGTTTGATCCCTATCATGTCCCTGGTAGTACTGCACAAAACTTGACAAAAATCTCCATGCAGCCTCCTTGTTGGTCAAGGTTTGTGTTTCGGAGTTATAGAGGAGTCGAGAGGGTTGTAACCACAACTAAAGTAGTATTCTCTGTTGTAGTAGCCTTCATGACCTTGGCGAGGTGAATTAAGATTTAAAAAAAAAAATCAAGCTCTGCCTACTTATTATCAGATACAACAAAAATGTCAAACAACTAAAGGAAATTATTATAAATATATTATTTATAAATTATTTGTTTTTACCAAAGTTTATAAATGTTGCATGCAAATAATATTATTATAATTAGCTAAACATTCTGCATTAGTACTGAGTATTAGTTCTGAGATTTTTTGATCGGTACCTAGTATTTTCACAAAAAAAAATCTTGTATGATAATTAATTCTAATAATTATAAATTATTAGAATTAATTATCATACAAGATTTTTATATTTTTTTATTTTCAAGACAGGTAATTCTAATAATTATAAATAATCTTTATGTTTTTATAAATATATATTTAATCCAATTTTTACTTAGGGTATAAAAGGAGACGAATTTCATTTGGTTTAATTGGTTTTTCTACAGCATCAATTTTGACCTATCTCATAATTATTGGAGAGACTGAGTTCAGTCTTATCGTCAACATTTTCATTTCTCTAGCAGCTGGAGTAGTAGTCAGTTTTTTTACCATTAGTAGCCTTTACTGTGGCTATTTTTTGACTGGTCTTCTTGGTGGATTTTTAACTGCATTTATATTTTTGCTTATTTACACCTTGTTTTTATCATTAAATTCACTTACTCTTCCTTGTGTTATTATTGCAGTGATTGGGTTAATACAAACATTTTTTACAATGTGGTGGAGACATCGCATACTTATATTTTCAATTTGCATGGTTGCATCTGCTGTAATGGCTGCTGCATTAGATCATTTTGTTGAAGATTTGTTTTTGTTAGAGTATATTGAAATGAAGCTATTTTATAATCGAGTACCAAAACTCTGCTGGTGGTCATATTTGGTTTTGAGTTTATGGCCCCTATGTTTTATTATTGGTATTTTGGTTCAATGTTTGTATACTGGTAAAGAACGTCAAAAAGAAAGTTATATTTTTGTATTTAAACGTAAAAATACAACCCATGTTCGTGATGATCAGAACCATTTAATAAGATATGGCTCTGATTATTAAGTTTCAAGTTCATGAGTTTAATTTTTTTATTTGTTATTTTTAAATTGTACATCAGAATTTGATCTTTGCAGGATATTTTGTTTCCTAGTTTTTAATAACTGTTTTGATTTTATTTTAAAACTTTTTACTTTTTTTTTTTTTTAATTTCTTCAGTACCATGATGTATATTGCTTTTTTTTTTTGTAATTTTTTTTCTTTTACTAATAAGTAGATACAAAAGTTTTTAATTTTTTTAGTTTATTTTTTATCTTTTTTATGCATAGGTAGTTAGTTGGTTAGATAAGTTATGTTGTTTTTTAGGTGACCAGCAAGCATTAAATGAAAAAATTATAATTTCTAGCACGTATTATGTAAAATAACTTTGTTATATAGGCTGTAATAAAAAAATATTCATCAACTTTGTTATAAAGATTGCTATTGAAATATTGGCTAAAAGTGTTTTCATTAGCTTTTCCCAACAACTAAAAGCCTGAACAAATTTAGTGTAAAGCACAATTTTTTTTTTTTAACTTGATAAATTTACTTAATTTAATGTATGTAGTACTAATAACTATATTTATTCAATATGATAATTATGCATTATATAATCTATGATAATTCTCTATACTCACAATGACATTTCATGCATATAGTTCCGCAATAATGTATCAGATATATCTAACACATCATACATAGATATGTTATTAGTTTTCTAATTTCGCTTTACTTAATTGAATTAGTTGCAAGAGGAGAATAACAAAAATACTCCCCTTTATTCTCTCTTCGTGGTTTTTTGTAGAAAGACGCGCTTGGCTATAAGCCTGGTATTCGGCAATGGTTTTTCAGAGAATATGATTATTTTTATGTTTTAAAAGTAAGAAATTTCGTTTTCATAATGCTGCTGGTCACTTAGTAATGTTTTATTACTGGACATTTAAAAACTTGTTCAAATTACTTTCGTAATTTTATTTAACGTCTTTATTTATTAACTAAATTTTTAACATGTTAGTCATATTTCTATGAGAAATATATCGAATTTATTTGTTTTTCATTTTTTTAAATTTATTTATAAGCAAGTTTAACTAGTTTTTTTATTTTAACACTTAAGAATATACCAGTTTAATGTAAGTGACAATTTTTAAACATTGTATTAAAGTCTATTTGGGAACAAGAATCAGTTAAAATTGTAGTTTATATTTTGTGTAAAAACAAAACAACCTAATATGTTTCCTACGTTCTGTAAAATCTTTACTAAAAAAGTAAAATGAGAAAATAACATGTCGCTTCGGTTATATATTAGTTTCCATTAACTTATTACTCGCAAATAGATAAAACAAATCAATAATTCTTTAACGTTAAAAAAACAAACAAATTAGTCAAACGTTAAACAAATTATATAGTATTCCGTTGTTTGCATTAGCGGAAGTTTTGTATAAACTTTAAAATTTTATATAATAAAAAAACAAGTTTCAAGTCATGCCATTAAATCCAAAGAGGTGTCTTTTGATTTAATGGCTAGTCATAAAGTACTATTAGAGGTTTATTGCAGATTTATGAGGAAAGAAAGTAATTAAGTTGTAATAAGGTTATCTGAGTAAATAATTTATATTAAAAACAAAAGTGTATTTATGTAATATAAATTTACAAATATATTTATTAATGATATCTCGTTTTTTTTTCCTCCACAAAAACTCGATCAAGAGTTTCTCTTAAAGTTTGTGTTTGGTTCAATTCGTTTCTTCAGACGATAATAAACTTTACACAGTTTTCTGTGTGTGTGCCTCTGTTGTTTTCTTTGTGTGCGTGCCTCTGTTATTTTCTGTGTGTGTGTGCCTTTGTTGTTTTCTGTGAGTGTGTACCTCTGTTGTTTTATGTGAGTGTGTGCCTCTGTTGTTTTTTTTTTTACTCATCTTGTTTTCTCAAAATATAAATTGTAGTACAATTTGACTTTACTATATTACTTTTTACATCAAATATATTTTAATATTGTTTTAATTATTTTAAAAGTATATTTAATAAAAGTATTATATATTGTCAAAGCTTGAAAAACTATGTAGTTATAAAAATATATGGATAAAAAAAATAATAATTTTCCAGAGTTCTATCTTCCCTGATATCAAAATACTCAGGTAAAATCGTTTCCTTTATTTTTTTACAAGTCTCCAAGTTATTTGAAAATTAGCTCAAATAGGAATTTTAAAGGTGAAGAGTTAGGTTCATCGAATATGCCAAAATTTATTCAATTTATTATTTTCTTCACAAAATTTCTTCATAATTTGGGCCTCTATAGTTCACTAGAATTTTTTATTATTATTATTATCATTTTCTTTAAAATATTTGGCGCTTCCAGTTCAATTTGGATTAATTTTTTTATTAAAGTTTTTTTTATTTGGAAAATTTTTTTAGTTTTATCGATCTATCAAAAGCTTTTGACCAGGAATGCAAAGTCCAATTGATTTTTAGGGTCTACGGGGTCAAAAAATAGGGACTTTAAAGATAAAATAGTCCCTGAATTGATAGATTAGACGATATAAATTTTCAATTATGCTGTAAAAAATTATAATTTATTTTTGATTTCACTTCTATACTCAAAAAATAACAATTTTTTTAGGTTGAAGGTGATTCTACTAATATACTTTATTTGAAGAACTTTTAACTTCAAGTTTATACGCGGTGGTGGTAGAGTGCTCGCCCTGTAAGCGAAAAGTTTAGAGTTCGAGAAAAAAGTTGAGCGTTACTTGTTTTCCTATATTCAAGAAGCCTTCTCTTATATTTATATATTTCTTTCTCTTACCCTTCCCGAAATTACATAATTAGTTAATTAACCCACAAAAAGTAGTTGATAAAATTGGTAATAAAAAAAATTTGTAAACTAAACGCGTATTTAAATAAAAATGTTGTAATGCGTTTTTATTTAATTTAAACGAAAAAAGAATACTACGAATTTTATTCTAACGACGTGCTCTGACATATTTAATAGATGTCAGTTGCTACACTTATAAAATAATATTTCCTTTTAAAAAATTATTAGCTAAGAAAACAACTTTGGGTGTCGTCCATAAATTGCGTCACAAAATTCGACCTTTTTTAACTTCTTTCCCCTTTTTCCCTAACCCTCTTGTCACGGCACACTGTGTCGCGAAGCGGAAATATGATTTTACTTTTCTGAAATATTTTTCCAACTGTAATGTTTTAAATTTTTGTTAACTAAATCAACTTAGTATTAATAAAAAAATGTTTATTTCAAATTTTTAAAAATTTTTCTTTTTAAGTGCGGGATTTTCATGGGTAAAAAAAACCAAGAAAAGAAAAAAAAAAAAGTGTGGAACATTGCTTTTGTCCTTAAAGACTGATTGATTAGACCATGTTACTACAGAAGTAGCCAGTTATTTTTTTTTTATATAAATTTTCTGAAATAAATTGACTTTTTATAAGTAAAACAATATAATGGCTACCTCTGCAGTAACATGCTATAAAATCAATTCAAATGTAGTGGATTTTGTTAAAAACCGGTTAAATCACAGTTTTTGTCAAGTATGAAAAACGATACTAGATTGCGGACGGTACATTTGTTCTTAGTCTTAACTTCGAAGTTATAACTAATAAGATTGAAAATTGTTTTAATATTGTTACTTTCAATCTTAGCAAACTTTTGACTGATGATTTTCCTCGTAGGCACATTTTTACAAGTAAAAATATTTCTCCATGTGCCATTTTTTTGCAGTCGAAGTTTTGATCTCTTTACGCTGGTTGCTCAGTGAATTTCAAAGTTTTTTAAAAGTCTGGCATTTAATTTATTAAAAAAATTTAATGAGTATGGAAAAAGAAAAAAGTTGTCCTTGCTAAACATAAACATTTTTTGGTTCAAAATCAACAATACAAATATCTCTTGTGAGTAAAATATGTTATTATTAAATAAGTTATATATACTACAATACAATATCAATATATTGTATTGTAATATATATATATATATATATATATATATATATATATATATATATATATATATATATATATATATATATATATATATATAAATATATATATATTCTTACAAATATATATATATATATATATATATATATATATATATATATATATATATATTCTTACAAAATGATTTGTTTGGCAAGTTTTCTTTCGCAATGCTTTATTACGGAATTTTAATTATTTATATTTTCGTAAAGTACATAACGGAATGTGCATTTTCGTATGTGCAACTTCCACAATAACAATTCTATTACAGTAGATAAAAATGCGAAATTTTCGCAAGTTTTGTTTTTCGGCGAACAACCCTAGTCTCCAAGCATCTTTAAAAAAATATTGCAAAAGCATCAAATAGTTCTCAAAGAACAATTAAAAAATTCTTTTTTTTAAAAAAAAAACAACATATACCAAAAACAAGAAATAATCTACCGAAAAGTTGTAAAAAAAAAAAGGATTTATATTAAAAACTAATTAATACATTGATTATCCAGGTAATATTTTAAAAATCCGGAAAATTGTTTGGGTAAAATACTCGGAAAAAATCCGCAATATATATTCGCTTATATTCCTCTTATATTTGCTTTTAGCTGAGATGTTTTAAATTTTTTTTTAACTTTTTATGAGTAATGAGTGTAAAAGCTAAAAACAATAAATGTATTATAAAAATATGTACCTAAACTTATATGTATGGAAAACATTTTAAATATACGGAAAAACTAAAAGTTTGACTAAAAAAATAACTGGAATTCCGAAAATCTCTGGAAAAAGATAATCTCTGTAGATAGAATATAATTAATAACTAAAGAGATTTTATTTTTTATAAACAATTTTGAAGATTTATGTCAAATAATTGATTCAATGCATAATATTTCTTATACCTTGAATGCATATTAAAAACAATTCAATATATATATACTCATATACAAAGAGATTTATATGTAAAAAAATATACAATTTTTATCATTATATATACTATATATACATACAACTCAAAATAAAGCTATAGAATAGATGACTACAAAGTTCTAAAAACTTAACAAGTTGTAGACTGATAGAAAACATGTTTCTGTGAACCCGTACCACTTTTTCAATAAATAACCAAAATGATCAGTATTTTTATCTTATTACCTTCAAGACCAGCATATCATCACATATCATAACCGTAGTGCGAGTAAAGCTTTAAAAACCTAAAAAGCTCCTACGATTGTGGTTATTGGTGTTGCAAAGCTGGCGGACCAGCAGGAATTAGCGACGAAAAAAAACATTTAAATAACGTAATAGTTAGTTGTAAAACGTTAGGGCGATGAACATTCGGAACTGTCTCACTGTTTTCCTCAGCAATTCTTTCGCTGTTTACTGGCGTCTCTAATTGAAAAATAATGAAATTTACAGAAATATTTAACAACCGAAAAAACTATTTAACATTTTGTAATTTTTTTAAAAACATAGAAATAACTTTTAATAAAAATTCAAGAAAATTAGGGAAATTTTTTTCGGTAAACAAATAATAATATATTTATAATATAAATATTATAAATATAAATTATATAATAAATATTCGGTACACAAATAAGCGGAGGCTATTCTTTATAATATTTTTACCAAGTTGAATTTATTTTAAATACGGTTAGCAATATTATATATGGTTTTAATATTTTTTACATTTTTACTATTGTTACATTTTAACATCTATTTCATAAATATATAAAAATTATAAAAATATGGTAGCTTATATGCAAATGTTGCATTTTTTAAAATTTTATATACTTTTATCATGAATCAATAGCAAAAAACTTTCGAAATTTTCCAGAAAAAAGTACGTGAATTCCCGGAATTCTGGGAAACCCTGGAAGAAAACCATTTATGATTTAAAGATAAAAAAAAGTACCTGCTGGATTCCTTCTGGTAAACCATCCTGCTTGGTAAATATATATAATAAAGCCAAGAACAGCAACAAGAAAAAAACGTGTCGTTGAAGAATAAAAGTAAACAATACTAATAAGCATTAGACCACGTAAAGAAAAATATAGCCAGTCCAACCAGTCACGGTTTCTATCATTATCGTCATCTCTTACAGCCATAATTGCTCCACCTGGACCAGCTTCTACTTGGGGATTAGCTGGATTGTTCTGCTCACGAACCTGTTCTGGTTCTTGTGGAGGATGTGGTATATGAGATTCTGATGGCAGTTGCTCCTCTGTAACTAAAGGTGTGGTCGGTTGTGATGTATTGGATGATAGTTCTGAATGTAAGGATGGGATTGTTGGAATAGGAGTAAAAGGTAACTGAAAACCATATCCTTGAGCTCTAAGAAAAATCATAAAAAAATTATTGGACTTTATTTTTAAAATGTGAGAATTTTTATAATTTCTCTGAATAAAATTTATACATTGTAGGATATGACCAGTGATTAGACGAAATACTTTGTTGCCACAAGTACATTTGATGCATATAATACTGCATTTGTGCTTGATATTGAATTTGCATTTCAGATAAGTTACTTTGTTGTTGTTGTTGTCGCTCAGATGACAGATTCGGCATCCATAAATATTGGTGTGTCTGTTGTTGAAATTGTGAATCAACAACTGGTTGGTTTTCTGCAACCGGAGGTATGCTATAATAAAAAAAATCAACTCAAAAATGGAAAATCAAATAATATAAATAGATAAAGAAATAAGTAATCAATTTTTAAATTCATTAGACAACTTATAGATTACATTAATATATATAGTATAGCACTAAACTTGTAGATTCACGTAATATCACATACTATTTAATTTTTAATACTTTATATATGCACATAAAATACAAATAAATTTAACTTTGTAACATGTTATGACTAGAGAGCAAAAACTGTTTAATAAGCGAATATTTTAACAATAAAGTTATGCATAATAAAATATTTTTAATTTATTAATAGTGCTGATCCTCCTCAAAACCCCAACTCTAAGGAAAAGTTTATTACTTAAACATTAAAGAGATTAATACATCAGCATTAATGTTTTTTTTTTTTTCTATTCTTAGTTTTTATATTATTGTATGTATGCTTTTTATTTTACAGTCAATATTTTATTTTGTTTTTATTTAATGATATATTTGTTGTATATCTTTGTTCATTTTACGTTTTTATGATTGCAAGTATTGTTTGGGTGAACTGCTTGGCTTACTTTTGTCTTTGTATTAGTTTTAAATACTCTTTTATTAATCTTAATTTTTGTTTTGACAACTGTCTAAATATGGTTTGTTTAAAAAACAATTTACATTTATTCTAGTGTAGTTTATTTTCCTTTCAGGCATTCACTACTCATGTGTGACCATTTTTTTAGTTTTTACAAAATATTACATTTTTACAATATTTTTTTACAAAAGATATACACAACAACCACAACACTGACAAACATTACAGTCGCAGTAACCAAGATAAAACCAAATGACAAACACTGTGGCTTTAAACCATTTTTACAGCATAACTATTATATTAACAATATTTTTATTTGCTAAAATATAACAAATATTCATTCATTTTCATTTTATTTGTTGAGCAATAGCTAAATGAATAATACTCATTCAACAAATAGATGTTTTATGAATATTTGTTAAACAAATATTTTTGCTCTTGCATATTAATTTAATAAAATAATAATAGGCAAATATTTTATATTTAAAATTTTTAAAAGATTTTATTATAATCGATTTAAATTTTATACAAAGAATTTATACAGTCTCAAAAAATTATCCGACCAAACATTTTTAAAAATATTTTTCCTAAAAAAAGTATTTTTGTAAATTTCAACTTTTTTGGTAAACTCAAGATTAAAATAAAAGAACATGTTTTTAAATAGATTTTATTTATTTTAGTGTAAAATATGAATCACAAAGTTTTCAGTCTTAAAAAAAAGGAACTTAGGTTGTTTTATTGTCAAAAAAATATTCAACCAAACATATTTTTTGTTCCAAGATAAATTATTTAATAACAAAACAACTATTTTAATACTTTGTAGGGCCTCCCTTTGCTTGGATTACAGCTTCTAGATGTCTAGGCATTGATTCAACTAAAGATTTTGTTTCTTCTGGTTAAATCTTTTCCCAGGCATCTTTAACTGCCACTTAGAGGTTATCTTTTTTGGAAATTGATTGATCTCCAATTTTTCGGTCTAAAACTTCCACAAATGTTCAAAAAAATTCGCTATTCATTGTTTTTAGTATAATTTAGAGTGTAAACATTTTTTTGTGTGAAAAACTTGTTTGGTCGGATCATTTTTTGAGACACCGTAGCAATTAGCATATTCCATATAACCCTAGTTCATTGTTTCCGTTATTAATTCATAGCTTTTACCAGAAACATTTTATATTGAAAAAAGATTCTTGAACAGCATAAAGATTTAACAAGGAATTTTAAGTACAATTGCAACAAACTTGACTTTTGAGAGTTTTACTTACGTGGCTGAAAATTTGAAACATTAAAAAAATATTTCTTTTGTATTGAAATTACTTATTGAGAAAAAGATTCATTATTACTTAAAAACTTGTACATTGATTTTAATTTCATAAATTATTGAATAAAAAAAATTCTATAAACTTACAAAACTATTAATTATGGTAATTATCCTGTGGCTTGGTAACTATCCTGTTAGTTTGGTAACTATCCTGTTTAGTTACCTAATCTGTTTGTCTTTTTTATCTAATAAAATATGTTTTATATTTAACCATAAGAACTTTATTACTCATAGTTTTCATATTTGTTTACTTACAATATTTAAATTATGTTTAATCAGAAAAACCAATAATCATGTCTGACCAGAAAACCCTAACACCTTACATATAAATATATCATTAAACTACATTTAAAACACATTTTATTGTATAAAAAAAAAAAAAAGGAGATAAAAAGGACTGAAAAAATTTACTAAATATTATTATTTTAATAACTTGTACTTTTTTTATATTATTTTTTCAAATCAAAATAATAAAAAAGGTAAATGTTAAATTTTTCTTACCTGTTACGAATTCTGTGTCTTAATCCATCATTTGAACTAAAGTTGTTTACAAGCGACTCCTTAACAATATATGAATTTTTTAAATAAACATGGTTTATATTTTATATTTTTATACAAATTCACAGCAGCAAGACTACTGGCAGTAATTGTTCAAGTTCGGACTTAGGTCGTTCAACAGCAATAACAAAAAAAAATTAAAAAGCTGTAAATTATATGAATTATAAAAAAATTAAAAAAAAAAAAGCAAGAAAATTCAATATTGCTGTTGTACGAACAGAAAAAAACATGTCAAATAAAAGTTCTTGATAAAGAAAAAGTTAATTCTAAATCAAAAAAAAAAATTTAAAGATTATTTAAAATTTTTTTTTACGATAATCTATGCAATTATCCAATTATGAAACTAATTACATCATGATAACAGGCAATAACAACAAATCATACAAGTGTTATCTAAATGAAACATGCATGAATTAGTTGCATAATAATTTCAAAAGTTTATTTCTGGATTGCATAACTAAACTTTTTTTTCTGGATTGCATAATTAAAGATAATTTTCTTTTAGATTAAATTCAATTAAGCACCAATAAATAAAAATAAATTGTAATGTTATTATTTTTTAAAATAAGGTGGGTTTGGGTATTAAGGCCCAACGGGTGATAAGGCCCACTAGTACAAACTACAGGAAAATATAAAATACGAAACTTTTTTTCAGAATAAAATATTAGAGTTATCTGGTTTTATCATTGGCAGCAAAAAAAAAATCAGTCTTTCTCTGAGCGTTCAACAAAGCAAGATTACTTCGTTAGTTCGGTCAATAATTGCTCAAGTCTAATTTTTAAGGTACATATTTTTTTCAAGTGCATTTATTTGCATTAAGTATTTATTAGTTATCATTACTCAACATGTAATATTTATGCACAGGTTGAAACAAAAGAATACTTAATCAATAAATGTGGCAGGTCCAAAGCGGGTGGCACTAAAAATTATATATCTACACACTGTTTTAGTCAATCAACCCAGTCCTTCAACGGCTCCAGTCGATCAACCCAAAATGAATCTTTATGTAAACTTCACTGATTTAATGCCGAGTCCTGCTAAAAAGAAAAATATCGGCCACAAAAAAAGTTTTAACTATGTTGCTAAAGCCCTGACGAAAGAAGATTTTCAATGTTCCACTTCTAAAGCTGTTAATAAAAAGAATAAGGGCAAAGGAATAGCAAATGTAAAAAAAATTAAGTCTGTAAGTGTGAACTTGAAGGATTGGTCTTGTTCCTTGTGCCAGCAAAAGTCTTTAGAGAGTATGCAATGTTGTAAAGTATGGTACCAATAGGCGTGCATGGGTTATGATTCTGAAGATGAGAAAGAGTTAGTATGTCCATTCAGTGAAGAATAATGATTTTCTTTGTAACAATTTTTTCTATTGAATTTTTTAATTTTCTGTTGCTATTCACTGTTGTAAAAAAATTGGTTCTTATGAAGTATATAAATATGCAAGATTACTTATCATTTTATAAATTTGAGATAAACTATGCATTAAAAGGTTGTTTCCTAATTTTATTTTATTTTTACATGGGCCTTATTATCTCCCTCAGGGGGTAATAAGGCCCACTGAGGGCATGTTAAAAAAACATGAATAACTTTTGTTATAATTAATATCTTAAGATGCAGATATCATTTTTACATCAAGGAATTATTAATCTTAAGCAACAATCAAAAATATTTTTTGAAACTTTATTTTTAAGGTCTAGATGACCAAAAGTCTGTTAGGTAGGCCTTAATACCCAAACCAACCTTATGTAATTTTACACTTTTATTAAAAAAAATCTATTGTTATAATTAAAAACTGTTAATAAGTAAATTGACATACCAATCCAATTGTTTCAAAATTATCATTTTCAGAACATACAATGTGTAAGGTCTGTGAAACACATTCCTAATGATATAATTGATAAACTTTTAATTTAGAACTGTAAACTTAATAAATTTTTTTAATGAAACTTTTATGCAGTTGCATGTTCTAAATAAGTTGAGATACTTAATGATAAAAATTGTTAAATTAATTATTGAAAATTTGTACCTTAAAAACCTCTTCTAAAATATAATGATCTTGGAGTAGTTTTCCTAAATATATGAGCTTTTGAGAATGACTTGCCTAAAATATAAATTGCAAAAAATTATACATTTGTTTTTTGTTTTTAAATAAAAATTATTTACAAAAAAGTTAAAGCAATTGATTTTATTATAATCCAAAAATCATTAATATTATTATTAAAAAAATATTATTACTTCTACTATTAACTTTATATCTGTAACAATAAATATAAAAATATTTACTGTTATTATTTCTTATAATAACTATTACAATGAAATATATTATAAATATAATAAAACTAATAATGATAATAATAATAATAATAATATTAATAATAATAAATTAATAGTAACAATAAAAATAATTTTTAAAACTTTTTAACACATTAAAAAGTCATATTTTCAAGGTCTCATTTTGCAATTGAATCCTACTATAAAGTCAGTGCTTTAAAGTAAAATACAAAAAGGTAATATAAAATAAAAAGTACATGAAATATTTACACTATTTTCAAATTAATGTTAATTCACCTTCTCGTGGCTGAGAAGGCCACTACAGTCGAGGAGGTTACTTTAGTTGTAGTTACAACCCTCACTCAATTCTATAACTCCAAAACACAAGCCTTGACAAACAAGGCTGTTGCGCAGAAAAACTGCTCCTTTATGAAGCAAGCACTTTACCACTACCCTATTTAATTCAATTTTATGAGGAAAAGGGTGTACTCAACCACATTAAATAAATGCTATTTATTTTCATAAAAGACTATTTTTTGAAATGAATAGGATAATTTATGTACACGATAGTTATTATAATTTACTTCCAGACCACTGTCAAGTATGACATGTATCTTAACAAATAGTTTTAAAAAATAACCAAACTTTTATTCGCCAACATCTTAACATTAGAACATCAACAAAATTTTCATAAGCAATAAAACCAATAAATAAGTTAAGAGCCATACATAAAAAAATCCAAGTTTATATGTTTCTTAAAAGAAACACAGCAAAAACACATTTGTCTGATACTACTAAAAAGAAAAGTTCAAAAAATGTGGCTTCAGTTTTTTAGGGTATTTATCGGCTCCAGATCTTGCAATTTCCGCGTACCTAATTTAATGTATGCAAAAAATACCATTGAACAAATCTGGTACCAATATGATAGTTATTTACTTTATTTTATCTACTTTTTGTTAATCAAAAACTGTGATAATTTTTGATCGTATTTAAAAAAAATGTGCAAACTTTTAACAAAACCCTATAAGAAATTGTGAGCACTGCATAACTCTTTGCTATATATATGTCTTAACTTTTATGCTCCAAACAATTTCTTTTATTTTGTTTGATTTAGTCCTATTTTGCATTTTTATTTTAATTATACACGGTAAAAAAAAGATTTTAAATATTTCATTTAAGAAAAAATTTTTATAAAGGTATATTTATATATTACTATTTGCATTTTAAACAAATTTGTCAACATACTGGCTTTGAAGGATATACATCTTGAAGATAATCTTTCAACTTTTTAACACTCCATGTCAAATCACAATCAATTTGTATATCTTCAATATGCTGATTAGGAGTTTTGACAGTTAATTTAATAAGAGAATCCATAATTTTTTAAAGAAATTTAGATACTATAAAATAATATAAAATCAATAACAAAATTCACTATACAAACGCTTGTTTATCTCGAAGTAGTCGATTCTTCATACACACTATTATTAAATTATTAATAAATGCTTCAAAACTAATTCATTTAAGTTGACCACGGAAACTTACGTAATGTTTTGAACGTATCACGTGAATCTAAAGTTGGTTGGCTAGAGACGATTGGTAGTTTAGCTCGATTTGATAAAAAAGCGCATGCCAGATAAGATTAATTAAGATTAACATAATTAATCTTTTAATTAATAATAATATTTATCTTACAGGCCCGTAGGAAAAAAAGTTTTATTGGGGAGGGGGGCAGTACTTCCTCAAAATAGTTTTAAGAACCTTTTTTTTTAATTCATTTTTTCAGTTAATTTTCCAAATAAAAATTATTTATTTGAAAAATCATTAACTGAATTTTTTTTTTTGTTCTTTATTACAATATTTAATACAATATTTACAAATAAATCAATAAAAAATTACATGCAAAGAAACCGTTAAAAAATAAAGAATAAAGATAAAGAACGCGGATACTCAAAGAAGACCATACAGGGTCTTGTCACCGAGAACCGCTGTTGAAGAACTTTGAACTTAATTTAGATTTTAGAAAAAACAAAAATAAATACAAATTTTAAACTGTTCTTAAGTTATAGTCTTTATGGCTTGAATTAAAATACTAATTCTTCTGAATCGCATGACTCAAGCGAAAACAATAATATCATCATATTTTTGATAAACGAATACGTCTCGCATCTTACTCACATCTATACGATCACTGAATCTTCTTACTCAAATGTATCTCACAGTTACACTAATCTTAATTGTTAATTAATTAATAAATAAGCAAAAATAATAAGAATATGACTTCACTAGGTAAACCCAAATACTTTAAGGTTGTCCAAAAGATTGTGTAGAAGAGTTTAGAAAGCCAAATGATGGTGTCTCTGTGTGTGAAGCCAAAATTATTAAATGTTGGTGCGTTTACGTTTACGCTTCCGCCGACAAAAGTGCTAACCACTGTCAAAGGATGGTTAACTTTCAGAAGTATTATACTTTTTTTAATTTTCTTTTGAGCATATAATAATTCCATTCATGAGAAAAATCAAAAAATTTTTAAATTATTTGGTTTCATAAATAAACTCCACGAAAAGAAATGCAAAATTTACCAAAGTTTGTTTGAAACTTTGGTTGTTTAATAAAATTATCATTTTTTAAAGAATATATATATATTTTTTTAAAGAATATAAATCAAAAAAGGAAGCTGGAGATGAGTTGGTTTTACATTTAAACATAAAACAAAGAACATTATAAATATTTACTTGATAAATATTAAAAACATTCATGTTAAATAAGAGTGGCCTTGAGTGAGTTAAACGAATTTTAAAATTTATAAGACGTGCAATATGCTTCTGCTGACAATAAAGTGGCTTTAATTTACTTTTATGGATACTACCCCATGCAATATTAGCATAATTAATATGACAGTGTATAAAAGAGTAATATAGTTGTGTTAATGAATGTTTGTTTGAAACGCTTCTTGCTTTATATAAAACTCCAGTGCTTTTTGCAATTTTGTTGCATAAATGTCCGATGTGATTCTTCCATGATAAATTTTCATCCACAGGTTTACAGGTTTCTTGGCAATCTCTTTATCAAGCGAAATTCAAAACTAAATTAGGCTGACCATTAGCGACATCTTAGAGCCATCAAAAAAAGTTATATAGATGTTGAGAAAGAACTGAAAAAGGATTCAAAGTATAATAACGGAAGTTTTTAATTGGCTTAAGTCTCTTTACTTATATAACAAACTTTTAGTTTTTTTTTTCTGTTTTTCTCAGGGTTTTTTTTACACATTTTTAACAAGTGTGTAAAACATGATATTTTTAGTTTGGAACAATATACTGTCATAAAATTTAGGCTTTAGGTATTATTTGACTTAAATAATGAAATAAAGAATTACAAATAAATATGGTGTCGAAAATATGTTTAATGGCTTCTTTTTTTTTTTTTTTTTTAAATCTTCTTTTAAAATTTAAATTTTCAATGCTTGACTCTGTTTTATAAGTTTTTCATACATATAATAGTTTTCAATAATTTAGTTTCAAAATTTTCACCTAATAGAAACATTAGGTGAAAATTTTGGAATTATTTATACGGCCGGATATTTTGCATTTTGAAGAAAATAATAGAAGGCCAGTTTTCTCGAAAAAAGTTTTTAAGAAAGCAGCTTTGTAAGTTCAAAAAGATGGTTAACAAATGTTGCGTTGTAAATTGTCGTTCAAATTATCATAATTATGGTGAAGTTTCTAGAGTAGTATTTTCGTTTCCAAAAAATGAAGAGTTAAAAAAAATTGGATTAAATTTATAAATAGAAAAAATTGGACACCTACTAATTCTTCCGTTATATGCATCAAACATTTTGAAAAAAAAATATTATAAGAAAAGTAACAAGAATCAATGTTTTAGATTAATAAAAAAACTAAAGCCTATTCTAACTATTATTGGCTGCACAAATTTGACTGAAGAAGGTTCATCACAACTTATAAAATCTTCTAATTCATTAAGAAAATCACCAACTAAAAGAATATTTCAGCCAGATCAATATGAACAGTTTTTATTGAATGATTTGATTAATAGCTTTAACGATATTACTGAAAGTTTTGCTCCAGATGGTTTTTCATTCTTGAAGTATGATGATCATGTAATTTTTTATAAATTAAGTCAGTACTTCATCTATTCCAGAAGTTACTGAGTGCATTCGTGTAAACAATGAGATGCATGTTAAATTATTTTACAAAGGTTCACCTTTGCCATTGTCTCAGTGGTTTTGTCAAGGAAGAGATTTTCGTTTATCTTGTAAAAGTATGCTTTATATTTTTCCTACCTGCTTTAAATCACAAGCCGAACAATTTTTAAATGTATTGACTGAATTACAGCAAATTAAATATATGAAAAAACCTATTAATTCAGCCAATAATATAAGGTATTCATTGATATTACGATATACTTCTATGGAGTCATACCAACTTTTGCGTGAAGAATTGCCTTGACCATCATTATCATTACTTAAAAAAAAAAACTAGTGGAAATATTGATGCTTTAAGTAGTGCAAAACGTTTACAATTAGAAGGTAAGATATCTTAAGACATTTGCTTGATTTTTGATGAAATGTACTTGTAAAGATGATTGGTAGTGAAGAGTCTGGAGAAATGGGGAATAGTTTGTTTTATGATAGTTGGCCTGAAACAAAACATTCCATATGTGATCAAAACGTCTCCTGAAAAAACAATCAATGCTGAATGGTTGAAAGAAGAAATTTTTGAATGTCTTCGTATTTTAATTGAATGTGAATTTAATGTTAGAGTTACTGTGTGTGACAACCATTCCGCTAATGTTTCTTGTTTTAAAAAAATCCTATGTGCATCGAATCAACAAGCAGAAGATTTGTTTTTTATTTACAATCTAAAAAAAATTGCCTCTGTTTTGATGTTGTACATCTTATTAAAAACATCAGAAAATAATTTGTTAAATTGCAAAAGATTTTTATTTCCAGATTTTAACTTTAAATGTTTTAAAGATACTATAATTGTATGTGGGGAGAAATTAAATGGAGTACCTTCCACGATATTTATGAAAAAGACTTTGCTCTTGATGCTGGTTTGCGTAAAGCACCAAAAATAACAATGAAAGTGTTACATCCTGGCAATTTTAAACAAAATGTTTCTTTAGCACTTGCAATTTTCGATGAAACTACATCTGCAACAATTCACTCATATTTTCCTGATCTTAAAACTAGTGCAGATTTTCTTACATTATTTAACAAGTGGTGGTTCAAATTTTAAATGTCAGTATTCAACATGTAATATTTTAGGTAATGCATTCGTTTCTGTTGGATCGTCGCGTCCATGAATTGAATAAACAAAATATATTATTTTATAGCTTTCTTTTAACCTCACTATCTCTTTACAAAAATTGTCTCTATATATAAAAAATAAAAGTCCCATGAGAATACTTTTAATTACAATTGAAATAGCACGTGACTTTCAACACGCATCTTCGTGATTTTTAACTTGTATAATTCACCAACATAAAAAGAGAACACGCCCTCTTGGTGAATTAACATAAGTCGAACCTTTGTAGGGGCCTTACTGATCTCATAAGTCTAACCTTTGTAGGGGCCTTACTGATCGTCCGGAGCGTGTTACTTGCAGCACATGTTCTTAAGAATCATATTGAACTAGAGTAATATCATTGTGATATCTTCCTTTAGCGTTATCGGTTTTATCTTTTAGTCTGTAAAAAACATCGTTGACTGATTCATTTGAACTCTGTAGGTCTGTACAGTGACGCAGGTGTGAAATATGACGCGGATATACCCGATTTGCAGATTCGACGTCAAACGATAAAGTATTTTGCTTTCGCACTACACTTGGTATTCACGGTTGGTCACATTTTGTTTCCTGAGTTGGCTTTACCCACACCTTGTCTCCCTCTTTGAATTTCGTATTTACGCCTTACTCGTCTGTTTTCCTCCGAGTATCGATACCTGGGATGAAACAAGTTGGTTTTTTCTTGAATTGCTCGGATGGACTTTTAGTACAATTGGATGATATTGTCTCGTTGTACAGCGAGACTGCCAGAGCGATTGAACAATGTGAGCAAGCAACTGTTCTTTTTATCGTTCTGTGTATGCGTTCAACTATACCATTGCCTTGAGCTTGATGTGCTGCTCGATATTCCAAATTAACATTCCATTCTTTAGCAAAGCTTGTTAACGTGTTGGACCGAAATTCGTTGTCCATGAGAAGACATACCGGCGGTTTAAATAAAGAGAATATTTCTTCAAGTTTACCAACAACTTCAGTAGCTGTTTTAGTTACTAGTTTAAGCCATATTGTATATCGTGATGGACAACAATCAATCATCGATAAGTACAGTTCAGCATCTACATGCGTCACGTCAAAGGCAACCCGATTCCAATTTTTTTCTACGCTTAGTTGACCATGCTTTCACTGTACGGAGTAAGAATCGATGGAGTTGCACTGGTTACAATTCGCTATTACTGCTGA